TAAAAGTGTGTAGTTTGAATCAGCATTTTACTTAATGTGATTGGGGTCACACTGAAGTGCAAGTAAACAGGGGCCAAACGCCGGCCAACCAGTGTAACATTTCATATAAATGTACACTTGCAATGATTTACAAGAAGTCTGTTGCATGTGGCTTGAGATGTATTATTCACTACTGTATGAGTGTTTGTGTGATGCTGGGTGGAGGAGGTGGAGGTGTGTAAGTAAGTAAGATCAAGCAGCAATGTTTTTGTCAAGGTCATTAACAAACCTTCAGATGCATATTCTTTCAGCTACCCTCCCCCCCACTTATAGAAGACGTCAAACCGTAGTCCTCACACTATGATGAAGCTCTCATAATATATGCCTGTCAATTTTGGGGTGAAGAGTAATTGTGAATGCATGTGCAATTTGTGAAGGCCTGCAGACTATTTTCTCCCCCAGGGGAGCATATTTTCTTCCACCTGTTTCCATCCAAAAAAAAGGTTACGGAATGTATTTTGTGAATACAATTGAAAACACTGTCAAAGATTAGGAACAGACCAAAGTCAATGTTACATTCTCCAAACCAGAAGACTTACCAACTGTATCAAAAGGGAAACAAACCTCTCCGATCGTTATGACATCATATTCTTGTGACTATATGAGGCGGCTGGGACGGAGGTGGTTGTATACTGTCTGGCATTAATGCTGATTTATGGCCATCATCTCCTAATGCCATAAAGCCCATATTTCATTCCTTCTCTCTCATCCACTCTCTCTCACCACTGACTCGGTCTGCATTTTGCCGCTGCTCAATAGTTGCAGCATGCGCCACAGGCCGGGCTGTGGCAGTTACATTCAGGTTTATAGTCTTGTTTTTTATTATACACCTCCCTAAAAGGCTGCCCTCAGAGACGATGACACCCCAGACACCCATTTAACGGGCTTGGTGATCTGCAGATGACGGAGCCACAGCAGTGGCAGGTTGTCATCTGCGGGCCTTGTCTCTTGTTTATGGGCTGCTAGAGCGTTTGACCCGCAGGGTCAACCCCCCCCCCTCCGCCGTGAAGTCACCATAACACTCCGCAGACAGACCACAAAGTGAACCAAAATAAATCCTAATGAACCTTTTAAGGCCGCTCCAACATCCGCAGGCTGGGAAGACAATGTGTAAAGAGATAATGCAAAGGGACAGCGAGAGAAGTGGGCTGCCAGCAGGGACAATGAGAACAGGCAGTCAGGGCTGTCAGTGCTTTGTTAAACTGGTGATCATGAGGTGAGGCGAGGTGAAGTGACAGATACTGAGGAGCTGATAGTTTACTCGCGCGTGTATCGCAGGCTAATGTTTGTTTGTGTAAGCACGGATGTGTGGGTGGTTGTGTGTACTTATCTCTCTCAAATATGGCAAACAGACACCGGTATGTGCTCGCCGATTACCAAACTACTAAATAAACAACTCAAATAATGCTACTGAGTCACTTTCTGACTCCTCACATGAGTTACAAGTTTTGTTTCACTTACTTAGTGTTTTCTGAGCATCAGAGACCCTCTGCTGAGAGGGAAGACAGCAGCGGAAGGAATGAGGAAGTTATTAATTGCTGGTTATGATGGATGCGATAAAGGGGAAATCTTACATGTGAGGCATGCAGGCGGTTGCATGCTCTGGCTGGCACCAAACCTCAATTTAGGAGATCTGCCAAAGGATAAATTATTTCCCACCTGCAATCCTTCTCTGGACATCCAAGCCTCACCAGGTGGAAGCCATGATCCATTGGCAGCTCTGCACAGACGGAAACAACGACCAAATGACCAAACTCAAGCCTAACTGAGGATTAAATCCACTGTAAATGTTATCATGTCTAACTACTGTCACTGCCTGCATGAAAGAGGGAAAAACATATATTAAGTGTGAATCTCCCTTCAGCATTCATTTATTTTCATTGTACCGCTTTGTATTAAAGAGTCGTTTCACCCTTCGGGGCAATAGTCAAAGCTCTAGTTGCATCCGCACCACCCTCCTCTTCCTCCATCTTTATCTCTGCAGCTCTATCAGGGAACATGTGGACAGAGGCTCAGTGAAAGAGAACAGGCGGGCTGAGGAGGGAGGTAATTTCTGCTGTCTCACCTCAGCGCTTTTCTCATTCGACTCTTATTAGCTCCAATAATAACTAAGACTTTTTAGCTTTTAAAGAAGACGGGGTCTGAAAGGAAGTGAGCGTGAGGGCCTTGATGGTGAACATTACATCCCCTCCCTCTTCCACATGGGCTGTAATTCATTTTTTGAATGCTGACTTCTGCTGATATTGTGCATCAAATCAATGCCAGCATTATTGATTAAGACCTTGAGCCAACAGCGGGGGATTTTGGTTACAATTCTGAATGTCTTTGCAGACCTCAAAATTTAGATACATACCCTCAAGAATCCATAGGCTAGTTTCCTTCAATTTTTTCTACTCAAGTATTTTTTACTTCCCATTGATCGACATGTTGGCAAGAGAGTAACATATCTATATAAAGCTACATCTATATCTCAAATGCTATGAATATTCTCTATTCCAACAATATGGTGAAAGGTAATAATCACAGTGCAGGAGAGATTGTTTGAATGTCTATACAGGAGATTGTGCGATCACATACTGAACCTCTCCTTTCAGCTAATAGTCACTGAGGCATGCGTCACAAAACTGACAAACTGGTGATCATTGTCTCGCTCCTTCAGCTCAAACGAAAAAAGCATGTGACATGATCAGCAGCACTCAGCAGCCTCACTGTCACAATGCTTGCAATTTATTGGTTACACATTCAGCTTCAGGAGTTCTAGCCCAAATGCTGCTCTTCTCGCCTTACATTGCTTATGCGACGCTTACTTGCATTTGTTTTTCCATTTCTCACTTCCCCCTTTCCGGTAGTCTGTTACCTCTGCAAGTGGTAAAGCGTGCCCCTTTTAGACTGTCAAAGTTGTTCCGAAAAGCTTTCCAAATACATTCCAGATTTCCCCCGCTGAGAACCTATTAACGTCACAATAGAGACAGAGAGAAAGGGAGCGGTGGAGAGGGATAGACGTTGAAAAGGGAAAAGGGAAAGGCATAGCAATGGCCTGCCGGAGGGCTTAGACATTACTCTTACTTTTACAAATCTGATGTGTTGTGTCCTGGAACAACACTTAATTTTATCCCTCCCCTCATCACTTTCTGTCTCTCGCTCCGTTGTTGGTTGCATCTGTAGGGGAACAGGTCAGCACGATGTAAACTGATGAGGAGATGGTCACTTTAATTGCATTGCTCCTCGTGGCAGTGTTTGCAGTTAAGGACGAAAAACTATCCCTGTATGATAATGTTTTTTTTAATTATTTTAATATAAATGATATATATATATATATATATATATATATATTGTATCAACTACATAACTAAAATACTAAATAGAGAATAAATTAATAAATACTATTAAATAAATGGGCTGATGGTAGGTCAAACTGTTTGAAATGGCACCTGTTAGTCTGTGGGCATCTTCATTTAAGTTCTAGATACATAATAGCTGAATGTTGAATTTGCCTTCTTCCATTTCTCCCATTGCGGCAGCTGATTCAGCGTTTTCAGGTATCCCCGTCTACACCTTTCTCTCTTTCTCAGATAGTGCTGAATCATCTCATCACCTCCCTGTGGAGGTGATTATGTTATTTGTGCCAATTTCTCTTTCTTAATAGTTGCCGGAATAAATCAGCACATTGATGCATCATCCGAGCTTCATGGCGCATTAGACGGCCCATAGTAGTCCACTAGTCAGGAACACAGAGAAGAGACTCATCTGGTTTAGAAGTAGCAGTTATCAATTGAGGCTGAAACATATTTGATGCCGGCGGAAGGAAGTCATACACGGGTTGGGTAAATGCATTGAACAAATAAAATAAATAAATGATATTTTAAAATGATGAGCTGTATAGAACATCTTCTTTGGGTAAATTGCTGGGTTCAGAGATCAACTTTTCAAAGTTTATTGTGTCGGACAACAGAAGTGTTGTCTTAGAAAGGGGCTGCAGTTTATGGCGGAAACAACACAAGTCCCATATTAACCACTGCATTGATTATTTTCCTTTAACCTTAATTTACAGAATTAATACTACTTACTTTCCGGGTCCATTTAATTTTCATTTGATCTCAGCTGCAGAACAGTACGAAGATATATAATATTAATCGCTGAATAAAACATGTTAGACATTTAGGCTAAACAGTCAACATCAACTTACTATGGCAGGAAACTGAAGAAATTGGAAACAGAGTTAGTTATTATGGACGTAACCACACTTATTATATGTAAACTACATCCATGTCCCGTATGGATGTACATGCTTGTAAAACCTGAAAAAAATTCGGGTCAGCCTCTTTTTCGTGAATTGATTCGAGTGTGAGGACTGAGCATGGTGTGTTATCGTGAGCAGGTCCAGTCTTGTGGTAGAAATAGAGTCAATTGTTTAGTGACACTAGAAGTCTTGAGGGAAGCTTTCGGCGGGAGCCTATTAGTTAGTTAGTTGGTTATTATGTTGTCATATCTCTTACATTATAGTATTATCATTTTTCTATGGATCTTACACAGTACCTCATTCTCATTGGAACCCACTGCTTTTGAAATCCCTTTGTTCATAATGCAAAAAGCAGCCAAACTAGCCGCAAAATGATCCTAGACTACAGCAGCTTTGACGCAGCAGGAGAGGGTCAAACTTGATTAATCTGCCCCGCAACATGCGGCTTCCCTGAATTATCATACCACCAAAATCATATGCGCACAGCAAGGGATATTTAGTCATTTCAGGGAAAGGTTGACAGCTCTCAAGGCACTGGAGCTAATTCACTAGGCTAGAATATCCGCCCCCTGCAAACATGACAGTATGCCTTCAACCTTCAGAGCTTGTACTCATGTGATATTATAGGTCAACACCTGATCTTTCCAAATTTAGCTGTGTAGCAGTATGGAAATAGGATTGTCGTACTACAGTTAAGTGCGCCTGCCGACCACAAGGGCGGCGGTAGTATATAAAGGCTGCCCCCCTTCTCGCGCCCCACTGATGCATCATTTCCGGGTCAGGTGTCTGTCTGCGCAGAGTGGCGACAGAGTGCTCCGTGCACCGTGCTCCGTTTGCTCTTTGGTCCTCTCAACCGGTGGTAAGTGTTCTCCCTCTCCATGTTAGACCGAACAATATTCTGTGGCTAATGTTATTGTGGTCACAGGTAGATGTCTTCCTGCCGTGTGGGTCTTTCTCTCCCTCCCTCTCCCTGTGCAGGTTTGACCTGGGAAACAGGTACGTGACTTTAAAACTAGCTTCCAAAAAGCTTTGACGTGTAGCTTGGCAATGCTAACTTTATGTTCATTGACAGGGAATGCTCATCAGCTGGCCGAAATCCACAGGTGGTGATTGATGTGACAGCACTCAGTTGATTGGGGCCACTGCTGCTTTGCCTGCTTTGACTGCAACTTTCCTATCCCAAGTGGCGTTGTCGGTAGGATAGGAAACCATAACGCCACACTTGGCGTTGCTGGCAGGATTCACTCTCCTAACGGCAAGGACGTGTGTTCCCGGGGTGTTTTTAGTTTTTTTGTTTGTTGGTGCACTAATGTCTGTCTTGTAGGCATTTGGGAGAGTTTAAGGGGACAAAGCAGCAGTGGTTTCCAGTGGATCCTCATGCCAGTCTGGTGAGGTCTGGTAGAGCAGGTCCGACGTGGGTGACAGTTTTTGGGTTTTGACTGTAGCTATGGAGGAGGACTTAGTTAACTCAGTTAAAGGCTGACAATGAGCGGCTACAACAGGAACAGGCTGGCTCTAGTGACTTACCGTCTACCTCTGTTGTGCCACCTACTGCCCCTTTCACGTCCAGCGTCCCTGTATCAGAGAGGCTGGTGTTTGTACCTCGTGATCGGAAGTGTCCTGTTTTTAGGGGAAGAACAGGTATGGGGTTGAGTGAGTGGAGAGAGGAAATCGAGGCGTGTATGAGGTCCCGGCGGTTATCCCAGTCTGACCGGGCGTTTTTCCTGTTTGACCACTTGTGAGGTGAGGCTAGGGAGGAGCTAAAGTATTGTTCTAGCGCGGAGAGAGAGGACCCCGGTAGGGTATTGGCCATTTTACAGAAGCTGTACGGGTGTGCAGAGTCTTATGTTGCTTTGCAGGAGGCTTTCTTCTCATGAAAACAGCAAGAGGGAGAGACTCTTCAGGAATTCTCCCTCACTTTGATGGGCCTCATGGAGAAGGTGAAACAGCGTGCAGCTACTGGTGTGCCAAATGCAGAAGCCCTTTTGCGAGACCAATTTGTTGAGCATGTGCTGGACAGTTCCCTGCGTCGCGAGTTGAAGCAGTTAGTGCGTAGACAGCACAATCACACCCTGCTTGCTGTCAGAGCAGAGGCAATTCAGTGGGAGCTTGAAGGTCTGCCTGGCGGTGTGAGGGGCCGCAGTCATTCCGTCCCCTCAGTGCTTGGTGTCCAGTATGGTGTCCAAGGTAACCCAAAGGGTGTTGTCCCCCCCCCCCCCCCCCCCCCCTGTGTCAGAGATGAGGGAGATGCTGCAGCGTCAGCAGGAGCAGCTTAATAAGCTTACTGAAAGTATTATTCTGCTGCAGGTCTCTCACCAGCACAGACATCCACCTCGTACCGGTCCGCTGATATGCAGGCGCTGCAATCAGCCCGGCCATTTTGCCAGGGAGTGTCGAGCGCACGTTCCTCACTCACAGCCACAGTCTAATTCGGGTGGGCAGTTTCTCATCCGGGTCGGAAAACTAGTACCCACCGAACTGCAGAGCCACAGTTTGGGAGGGGTCGATACTGGCTCACAAGTTGCCCCAAGTAGCTCAGAGGTTTCTGAGCTGATTGCGTCGTGTCCCCATGTAGTTGTAGACATAGGTGGAGTAAAGGTTCCTTGTTTGGTGGATACCGGTTCTATAGTGTCTACTATTTCTGAGAGCTTTTTCCACCAGCATTTTGAGCCTTGGGGTCAGGATCGCCTTCGATCGTGTCATTGGCTACAGCTGAGAGCTGCTAACGGTCTGGCAATCCCCTATATCGGCTACTTGGAGCTAGAGGTACAGCTTTGTGGCAAAGTGATGCCCCACTCTGGAGTTCTGGTTGTGAGAGATCCCCCTGGTGGTGTTCCGGCTCAAGTGCCTGGTATTCTGGGCATGAATGTCATCCGTAAATGCTACCAAGAGCTCTTTGGGCAGCATGGCCTAACCTTGTTTTCTCAGCCCTGTGTTTCTGAGGCTCCGGGGCAGATTGTGCGAGCACTGCAGCAGTGTTATTATGCGGAGGTTCCTCAGGATAGCCCAGGAAGAGTAAAAGTCAGGGGTAAAAGGGTTTAGCGGATTCCTGGTGGAGTCATGAAGATCGTTGCAGCCACGTGCTCTGAACAATTCTCTGCCTCCACAGTGTTGTTTGAGCCCTTGGGAGTCTGGGTTGCCGAGTGGCTTGCTTGCTTCTCCTGCCCTGGTTCAAGTAGTTGGGGGCACAGCCTACATACCAGTGGTTGATGTCGGCTCTGTTGAGGCTGTGCTGCACCCCCGCACAGTTATTGGCACCCTGGGCCCCGTCAATGTCATCAGCCTTCCTGCAGGAGTAACTGAGGTGCCGTCGGATAGGGCGACCATGTCCTCTCATACAGTTTCCCCTACTGTACCACAGCAGATGGGAGAGATGGACCTGTCGTTCTTGCCCGCTGATCAGCAGAGTCAGGTGAGGTCTCTACTTGGGCAGTACGCTTCTGTCTTTTCGGCTCACGATGGGGATTTGGGTTGTACTGACCTCATCTCCCACGACATCCCATTGGTTGATGACACACCGGTCAGGCAACGCTATAGGCGTATTCCACCTTCGTATTATGAAGTGGTAAAGGAGCACATTAATCAGCTGCTCTCATCAGAGGTCATCCGGGAGAGCAGCAGCCCCTATGCCTCCCCCATCGTGTTGGTGAAGAAAAAGGATGGTAGTCTGCGCATGTGCGTTGACTACAGACAGCTAAATAGTAGAACCAGGAAAGATGCCTTTCCTCTACCAAGCATAGAAGAGTCCCTGGATGCGCTATCTGGTGCCTGCTGGTTCTCTACCCTGGACCTGGCCAGTGGTTATAACCAAGTACCAGTTGCCGAATCAGTTCGGGCAAAGACTGCTTTTTGTACGCCATTTGGTCTATTTGAATGGAACCGGATGCCTTTTGGGCTCTGTACCAGTACTTTTCAGAGACTAATGCAGCGTATATTCGGGGATCGGCAGTGCCAGTCTCTGTTGTTGTACCTTGATGATATCGTCGTGTTTTCTTCAACAGTGGAACAGCACTTGGAGCGGTTAGAACTAGTGCTAAGCCGACTTCAAACCGAGGGCCTCAAGGCCAAGCTAAGTAAATGTTCATTCTTTCAGAAGGAGGTCCTTTACTAGGGCCATGTGATTTCTGGCGAGGGTGTCTCTACCAATCCGAGGAAAATTGAAGTGGTAGCCAATTGGCCGATTCCCACTACCGCCTCGGAGCTGCAGTCTTTTCTTAGTTTCGGCAGTTATTACCGGCGTTTTGTGGAGGGCTTTGCTGAGCTAGCAGCCCCCTTGCACAAGGTTGTGGTTGAGGTCGGCCATGCTAAGAATGGTAAGAGGTCTGAGCGTGGGTTCATCAGGTGTTGGACTGACGACTGTCAACGGAGCTTCCAAGCACTGAAAGCTAAGCTCACCACTGCACCGGTGCTGGCTTATGCAGATTTTTCCCTCCCCTTCATTCTGGAGGTTGACGCGAGTCATTGCGGTTTGGGAGCTGTGCTCTCCCGAAGAGCAATCGGGAAAGGTAAGACCGATAGCCTACGCTAGTCGAGGCTTGAGGCCCACGGAAAGAAACATGTTGAACTACAGCTCCATGAAGCTTGAGTTTTTGGCCCTCAAGTGGGCCATGACCAATAAATTTAGGGAGTACTTGTTGGGCAATAAGTGTGTGGTTTATACTGACAACAATCCCCTTAGTCAACTGTCCTCTGCTAAATTGGCTGCTACTGAGCAGCGATGGGCAGCCCAGCTTGCCTCATTCGACTTCGAATTGAAGTATCGATCTGGGATGAGTAACAAAAATGCTGATGCCCTCTCCCGTCAGCATCCCCCAGGTCCTCAGGATACCCAAGTGATGCTCCCTGGTACTGCAATACCTCAGCCTTTGCAGCAAGCCTTGGGGTCGAGACCGATAGAGGTGACCCAAGCTGCCATTGTAGCATTGCCACAACACACCCCTTCTGAGATGTGTGCCTTTCAGCGGGCTGATCCTGTTATCCAGTAGCTGTTGGAATTTTGGGACCCAAAGCGGCGTCCCAGTCCTGAAGAAAGGGCACGGTTGTCCCGGCCCACGCTGTCTCTCCTTCGACAGTGGGGCCGTCTGGTCGAGAAGGATGGAATCCTTTATCGCCAGATGTTCTGCTCCGATGGTGCGGAGGCTGTGATTCAGCTGTTGCTCCCTGGTACACTGAAAAGTGAGGTTTTGACCCAAGTCCACCAAGAACATGGTCATCAGGGAGTAGAGCGGACACTGGCGCTCCTCCGGTCTCGGTGTTATTGGCCTGGCATGTCTTCGGATGTGGTCCAGTGGTGTCAGTGTCCCTAACGAAGTCCTTGCCATAGACTACACTGCTTTAGAGCCTGCCCAGAATGGGGTGGAAAATGTCTTGGTGATGACAGATGTCTTCAGTAAGTATACAATAGCCATACCCACCCGAGATCAACACGCCCTTACGGTGGCTAAGGTTTTGGTGGCAGAGTGGTTTTACAAGTTCGGTGTCCCTGCCCGATTGCATTCTGACCAGGGCAGTAACTTCGAAAGTTCCCTCATTCAACAGCTTTGTGGTTTGTACGGTGTTGTAAAAACCCGCACTACCCCATACCATCCAGCTGGGAATGATCAGTGTGAGCGGTTCAACCGAACCCTCCACAACTTGCTGCGCACACTGCCTGTGTCTCGAAAGCGGGACTGGAATGCATGCTTGCCCCAGGTGTTATACTGTTATAACACCACACCCCATCAGGCTACTGGAGAATCCCCCTTTTTCCTAATGTTTGGTCAGGACCCTAGGCTTCCGGTGGATTTCTTGTTGGGTAGAGCTGAGAGTCCAGTTGGTGGAACAGTCCATGAGTGGGTTCTGGAGCATCAGGCTTGACTACGGGTGGCATTTGAAGGTGCAAGGGAACGCTTGCAACATGCGGCCGACCGCAAGAAGCAAACCCATGATAGACATGTTAAGGACCTGCCACTGGGTGAGGGTCAGTTGGTGTTCTTGCGTGACTTCAGTGCCATCTTCCACTGCCAGTGGGATAAGTGTCTGTTGCTAATCCTCCCTCTGTCGTGTCTAATTCAGTCTCTGCATGTTTTCGACCTTGGGGCTAATTCATAGCGCGTGCATTGATTTGTCCATCGTCTGGGGGCGTCGATGCAAGAACTGGGGGGTAGAATGTAGCAGTATGGAAATAGGATTGTCCTGCTACAGTTAACTGCGCCTGCCGACCACTAGGGCGGCGGTAGTATATAAAGGCTGCCCCCCTTCTCGCGCCCCACTGATGCATCATTTCCGGGTCAGGTGTCTGTCTGCGCAGAGTGGCGACAGAGTGCTCCGTGCACCGTGCTCCTTTTTGCTCTTTGGTCCTCTCAACCGGTGGTAAGTGTTCTCCCTCTCCGTGTTAGACCGAACAATATCATGTGGCTAACGTTATTGTGGTCACAGGTAGATGTCTTCCTGCCATGTG